TGGATGGGGCTGGAGGGAGGGGGTGGGGAGGGGCTGAGAGCTTGGGTCTGGGGTGGGAGCGACAGGGCGCAGCTGGTCCTGGGCAACGTTGTTCCCGGAATCCCAGTCCCTGAATGCCCACGTGGACGGCACTATTGAGATGGATGTAAAACAAGGACAAACACAGCGCCATAAAACCCATTTCCTGGCCTGGGCTCCCAGTTCATCTGCAACTTGCACTTTTCCAATTACAAGGCCCTCCTGGAGCACGGGTGGGAAAGTGCGGCCACTTCCCACCAAGCGAGCGGCTCCAGGTCGGCTCGGATCTCGGACAATGCCGTGGGTATTTTGGAGGGGAAATGATACATCCCCACGGCCGAAAGCAATGGGGCCGATTCAGGCTTTGTGGTGGCCGCTGATGTCATTTCAGAGAAAGAGCTAAAAAGCTGCTTTGTTTTTCAGACTGTGTTTCTGAAATTGTCTTCTTTTTAAAAAAAAAATTCTGATTTTATCCCAATGTGGATGTTCCAAACCCCAAACCTCTAATCCAGGCCTGCTTGAAGGCCCCTGCCCTGGGCCGGTGCGGGCGCCAGTGGGAAACGCAGAGGTCACCCAGTTCAGTCTACCGCAGGGCTCGCTGCCGGGACCCTCGTTTGCTGCTGGCCTGTTGGGGGGCCCGCGAATGGATGGAGGGCGGGGAAGCCAGAGAGAGAGGGACATGTGTCTTCTCGCAGGCCGGCGTGGCTATCCAAGAATGCCACAGCGTGTCTTCCAAAGTTCTGCCTTCCGCGAGTGCGGGGGAGGCTCACCCTTGGCTGACATGCTGGGAACGCTGTCGGGCTGGCACTCGAAGCCGGATAAAGAGGAGAGCAGGACAGGAGAGACCAAGCAGAGGCCCCGCCTGCATGGCTGGGGGGTGGAAGGGGTTAAAACAGGCCTCCTCCCAGCCAGAGCGCCCCCTCCGTGACCCCCTCTGGTCTGCCCAGTCTCCCGCGCAGGAAAGGACCAGCACGGCCCCACTTCACAGTCCCGGAATGTGACATTGCTGTCTGGCGGGTGGAGTATGGTTGACCACTAACTGGCCAGGTCAAAATTGTGCTGGGTTGCCAGGTACTGAGGCCCTACTGTGTGGCTAAGTTCAGCTCCAGGGCCGTCCTATGTGCCATCTCAGTCGATCCTCACGGCAACGCCGTGGGTGACCCATTTCACAGATGGAGAGATCGGTGCTCAAAGAGGTAAAGGCCACCCCATGGGAAACAGCAGAGCTGGGATTCACGCCTGGGGCTGATGGCTTTTCCTAATTCCTGTACCGCACTGCCTTTAAGTAAAGGATGCCACGGGGGGTTGATATGCCCAAAGATATGCTGACATCCTGACCTCTGGTAGCAGTAAGCGGGACCTTATTTGGAAAAAGGGTCTTTGCAGATGTGATCAACGATCTTGAGATGACACGCATACTTATAAGAGACAGAAGGGGAGGTGACACAGGCACAGAGAAGAAGGCTGTGCGGAGATGCAGGCAGGGATTCGGTTCTGCACATCTCTGCTTCTCCCAGGACTGCTCAGAAGGCTGCCTTACAATGCTCACTCTACTGGTGGAAACCCCGAGGCCCTCAGAAATTCGGACGCTCACACCAGGCATGGGCTGTGTGCCAGTTACGAACGCTAGCTGTGTGACAAGCCGCCCCCAACAGTAACATACTAACGCAACAACAGTCCCGTCAGCAGCTCAGTCAGGGTCTCTCACGCGGGTGCACCTAGACGGGGGCTGGTCGGGGTCGCCTCGTGGGTTCAGCACACCCTTCTCTCTCTGTCCCCCAAACCCCCCCTCCCCATTGTGTCCCCCCCGGCCCGGCCACCCCCAACCCTCTCGCCAGCTACATGTTAGCCGTAGAGTGACTGGCCATCTGGGCATCTTAAGTGTCCGTCAGAGATTCCTGCAGTGTCCCAAGATAGAGCAGCAGAGGCTGCCTGGCCTTTTCTAACGCACCTGGGGAGTCACACAGAGCCACGTCTGCCGTGTGCCATTCAGGATGCAGCACCCCCTAGACGAAGACCGTCACAGGAAGCCTGGCAGCTTTCAAGTCCTCCCTGACTTGACGGCCAATCCTGGCCCCTCCGGCTCTCCCACGCTGGCTCCTCTGGACACTCTCCTCCTCTGTGTCTCCCTCCTCTGCTCTCCAGAACCCCCCGGCCGCAGGGGTTCACATCGTGCCCCGAGAATGCCAGTGAGGACGTTCCCACCAGGGAGCAGGGCCAGCTGTTTTGGCTTCGGAGGCCCCGGCTCCACAGGGGTCTCGTGCCCTCACACCCCCCGTCCTCCCCGGCCATGTGAACACAACTGCCTCCCAGGGAAATACCTGTGATGGTATTTGGACAAATACCCGTGAGCTGAGCTCTTCCTGTGACATGGCCACAGAGCTGTCAAACTTCTGAAGCAATACTTTCATAACTGAAGTGTATTTTGGGGGCTGGAAATGTAAACTTCAGTGCTAGAGCAGGTGTGGCCATGGACTCAGCCCTAATGGGACAAAAGGCACAGTCTGTGGATTTCTGCCACAGGTTTATATTTTTAACATTTACAACCAATAAACATTAGCTCCAACATCAACATAAGAAAAGGAAGACCATAAATCCTTCCTTTCCAGTAGTAAAGGGAACGGAGTCCCAGACCATAACGCTCGCTGTCATATTTTAATAGCAACTGTTCACAGACTCTTGCCCCGCGCCAGATTCTGGACTAAGCTCTTTGCATTCATCGTCTCATTGGGTCCTTAAACAACCCTATTATTATTATTATTCCCATTTTACAGAGAGGGAAATTGACGCTTTGAGATGGATAGTCGCTTGCTCAAGGTCATATGTTAGCAAAGGGCAGAGCCAGGGCACGAACACCCGCGTCACTAAATGAATACTGCATTCAAATCCCTGTCACGGAAGCTGTAAGGGGGCAGAGTATTTCAGAATCTACACATGGGCATTTACCGAAGTATCTGATTGGAATGCTCCGCCTTCGAACAAGTTGATCGTCACATGAAACTCGGAGGTACTGGGGCTGAGGGGGTTTGACAAAATTGGGAGCTAGTAGATGGCTTTGTCCTAGAGCTCAGCCCTAGACCAGGGACAAGTGAGGTATTGTCTTAGGGGATTCCTTAGGCACAGGGGAAGCAAGAAAAGGCAAGGAGATGCTCCTTTTGTGGAGAGAGATTCTGAACAGGAAACAATAGAGAAGACCAATGACCCACAAAGCTGGTTCTTTGAGAAGATCAATAAAAATAATAAACATCAGATAAACAACAAGGTCCTACTTATAGAACAGGGAACTATATTCAATATCCTGTGATAAACCATAACGGAAAATAATATGAAAAAGAATATATATATGTATATATTTATGTATATGTACAGTCACTTTGCTCTATTGCAGAAATTAACACAACATGGTAAATCAACTTTGCTTCAATAAAATTTTTTAAAAAGCAATGTCAAACTAAATAAAAAACAAAACTCAAGTACAAAAAAAAAATGATAAACATCTAGCCAAGCTGATCATGAAAAGGAGAAAAGACACAAATCACCAGTATCAGAAATGAGAGCATTGACACCACTACAGATCTTACAGACAACTTGGAAAAAGTGGACAAATTGCTTGAAAGACACAAACTACCAAAGCTAACTCTAAAAGAAACAGATGATTAGATAGATAAGAGTGCTCTCTATTAATAAAATTATATTCGTAGCTAGAAACCTTCCCACAGAGACTACTCTAGGCCCATAGGGCTTCACTGGTGAATTCTGTCAAACATTTAAGTTGAATAATTATCTCAATTTTACCCAAACTTTTCTTAAAAAGCGAAAAGGACTCAGTTAACGAATCAGCAGTATTACCCTGGTACCAAATCCAGACAAATTTTAAGAAAAGAGAACTACAGACGGATATTCTTCACGAACATGGAAGCAAAAATGCTAAACAAAATTTAGGAAATCAAATCCAGTGATATAAAAAAAGGAGAATGCATTGTGACTAAGTGAGGTTTGTCCCACGAAGGCAAGATTAATTGATTAGAAAGTCAATGTAATTCATCATATTAACAAACGAAAACAGAAAATCATACGATCATCTCAATAAAGATAGGAAAAACATCTGACAAAATCAAACACCCGTTCCTCATTAAAAAAAAAAAAACTCTCAGAAAACAATGACTAGAAGGAAACTTTCTTCCCTTGAAAAATACAAACTATCACAACCTCACCATACACCAAAGTTAACTCAAAATGGATCACAGGTCTAAACATAAAACCTAAAACTATAAAACTTCTGGAATATAAGGATAAAACATCTGTGACCATGTGTTAGGCAAAGATCTCTTAGATTTGTCATAATCTATAGCTTTTACATACACGTGATCTGTGCATGGACAGTGTGAAATTTTGAATTGCATTAAAATTCAAAACTTCTGCTTTCAAAGGACTCTGTTAAGAGAATTGAAATACAAGCTCTATCATGAGAGAAAATATTTGAAAATCATAGATCTGATAAAGGACTTTTATTCAGAATATATAAAGAACTCTCAAAACTCAATCATAAGCAAACAAGCAACCTGGTAGAAAAATGGGCAAAAGATCGGAACAGGCACCTCACCAGAGAAGATCTATGGGTGGCCAAGAACCACATGAAAAGACGCTCTGCATCATTAGCCATTCGGGAACTGCGCCTAAAAGCCACAGTGAGGTACCACTGCATACCTGGGAAGACAGCCACATTGAAGATGGACCACACCAGTGCGGGGTCTTCCTCAGCTCGTTGCTGGTGAAACCTGGTGGAGTTTCTGGAGGTAAAAGCCACGAAACCGTGGATGTGCCCTAAGCCTGCAGCCCTGGGAGTTTCTCATGCTCACAGCAGCCCACACTCAGCCTCCAGCAACTTGTCATTTGAACAAAATGTTCCTCCCAGTTTACGGCTCCTGCAGCTCCCGTTGCAAGGAAGTACATCCCGTTGCAAGGAAGTACATGGTACTTACGACCTTCTGATGGTTTGCCCTTTGACCCCAATTCTCTGACGTGTCCGAGAAAAGTCATCGATCTTCAGGTTGTTCAGGATTTTTCTTGTGGTAAGAATGGAAGTGATGCCGAGCTGTTTACATGCCAGAGCTGAAACTGAAAGTCAGGACAACCACTTTGGAGAACAGTTTGGCAATGTCTTAAAGAGTTAAACATACAGCTGCCATATGATGTGGCCATTCCACTCTTAAGTACGTATCCAAGAGAAATGAAGGCAAATGTAGGTAGCAGTTTTGTTTATAATAACCTCAAACTGGAAACAACTGAAATGTCCATCAACGCATGAATGGATAAGCAGAATTCTGTTATATCCACATAATGGAATATTACTCAGCCATAAGAACAGGAAAAATGATTGGTCCATGCTACTGTACATCAACTATAATTAAATAATTAAAAAAAAATTTAAAAAATTAAGATAATTAAAAAAAAACTATTGAAACACGCTACAACATACATGCATCTCGAAAGAACTGCCAAATGAAAGGAGCTACGCAAAGAAGAGTACATAGTTTATGACCAGATACATAAAATTCGAGACATCTATAGGGACAGGAAGCAGATGGATCACTGCCAGGGGATGAGGCACTGCTGGGTGGAAGCAGCAGGGAGGGATGGTACAGGGGCACGAGGGACATTTAGGGGATGACCGTGGTGATGGCTGCACAAGCACGTACACACGCCCAGACTTACTGAATGGTTCACTTTAAACGTGCAATTTATTCCATACCAATTATACCTCGATTAAGCTCTTTAAAAAAAGAGTCTGAACAAAGAAATATTGCCCTATTAGAGATGCTTTTCTTTTCTAAGAGGGAGGGCCATTAGAAACTGCATCTAATCTAGACATTAGAGATTTTCAGCTGTGATTCTTGAAGCCTGAGGCAGAATATGATTTGCAAAGACGGCCACCACCGTGTCTCATGCCCAGGTGCTCTTACACGTGACCTGCCTCTATAATGCTGTCCCCTCCCCTTGACCTCGTGACCTTGTGACCGCCAGTAGAAAGGAGTGGAGGAAACACTGCATGATGTCCGAGGCTAGGTCACAACAGGTCATGCAGCCTCCACCTGGTTCTCTGGAAACTTTTCTTAGGGGAAACTGGCCACCAAATAAGCATTCTGAGCACACAGAGACCCCCATGCTGGAGAGGCCACGTGTGGGCACTCTGAGCGACAGTCCCAGCTGAGGGCGCAGCCAACGGCCACCATCGACCACCAGCCATGTGAATGGAAGACCTGGGATGTCCAGGCCCGGGGGGCCATCAGCTGCCTGCAGCCCAAGCTGACACCTGGCTGCACCCCCACGGCAGACCGCGGGGGAACTGCCCAGCTGAGCTGCTAAATGCCTGATCTGCAAAACCGTGAACAAAATAAAAGGGCTTTTGTTTGATACCGGCTTGTTCTGGGGTAGTTTGTTACAGGGCAATAGTGGCGAGACTGGACCCTGTCAGGGATCACTGTACAGCAGGCAGAGGGCAGAGGATCTAAAGGGGTGGGGGCTCTGGGACATTTGCTCAGATAAGGATGACTTTGACTGGTTGAGGAAAAGGTCCTCTGATCCAGCCCAAGCCCTTCACCTTGGAGATCAGGTTACAGAGGAATGGACAGAATAAAACTAAGTTAGGACAGTTTATATGGCTAGTAAGCGGATGCGCTGGTTCTCACAATTGAACCTTACAACTCCGAGTCCAGGGCTCCAGCCTCAGCACTTCATCCACCCATTGGGCCATGGGTTAACCCCCAGGTCGGTGCAGTACTCTTTTAACAGACCCACTATCATCTCAATAATATAGACTTTAAAAAAAAATGCAAGTTGTTGATCTTCCAAAAGCAAATCTATTTATTAGAGTAGCGTCATCAGCCCTTGTATTTATGAACTCAATGCTGATTTGAGAGAGCTGCTTTTAATCCAGCAGATTATTCCCACGTGTGTGTAATGTGTGACTATAACTTTGTTTTTAAAACATTACCTAGGGAAGCACGTCTTTAAGAAAGTTGTAGAAAGAACACAGCGCTCTCGCCCACATATATTTCGTTCCAGTTTCCACCTATGCAGTGCTGGCAGCTCCTTTGAGCATCTGCTGTGTTACCTGTTCCCTTCTTCCCCTGTAACGCCAGGGACTTCGGCAGGCCAGTAAGCCACAGTCGGGAATGCATTCAGAGACCATTAGTACAGGAAGCAGGGTGAGATCCAAAGAAACCATGAGCCAGTGAGTTGGAAAACACTCCATGAAAGGCCTTTTCAGCCTGTTTCTTTCAGGAGGAGTTTGTTTTTGGATTAAAGGCGTTTATTCAGGTATTCACAAATACCCAGGCTCTGCACCAGCTGGAGAGTGGAAACCCGTCCGTCATGATCAATTGCTGTGCAGGGGACTGGCATGTTCCGACTGGGGAATACACGGATGAAAGCGGCGTAATTAGGTGACACGCCTTCAAAGGAGATGAAAGGCCCAAAACATCCTCAAAAACGTAGGCAAAAATATACCCCGAAATCACTACTTTCTTTATTTTGGATGTAGCAGTTCCAATTAAAGGCTGGGTGTCAACGGCATGGAATGCAGCAGTCTTGCACTGGGGTTCTTTCATTCTTTTTCTTTTTTTCTTTCCTTGCTGGGGGAAGAAAAATGATGAAGTGTCATTCCTATATTTCCTCCACTCCATTGGCAAGTGGTGTAAATTCCTCCCTCCTTAAAGGAAACAGACTAAGTTGATGCTTTCATGGCCTTCCACTCGGGGAGGAGAGGGGATGAGAGGACCAGGAGCTAATGGCACAAGTATCTGACAGCCCCCACCCCGTCCATCAAATTTTTCTCTGAGCTTTCTGAATGGCTCATTTGTATTCTCAACTCCTTTGCTTAAAAAACAGGGTCTTTTCTCTGTTTATATTGCTAAGAAAACACACAAAGTTCCATAATCTTCTTGCAAGCTCCTTTTCCTTAGACAATTCTTATTCTCTGATTTTGTTAAATTCAGGAGACTGGCAGGTTCTGATGATGAGGGAGTTCTGTAGCTGGGGGATCGATCCATCTACTCCCCTCCGCTGTTCATTTTCCGATGAGAAAATGGAGCCCCAGTGAGGTTGGGTGTCTTCCTCCGAGCAGCAGGACTAGAGGCAAAAGAGAAATTTGGGGGATTTCGATCCCCACGTGAGTGCTCTCCCCACTGTTCAAACTATTCCTTTTCCGTTTGCCTGTATTTTTAATCCTTTAATGGTCACACTCTGACTGCGTTTGCAGCACTCATTAACACATATTTAAATAATTATGGGAAAATCCGCGTTTTATGCGTCCTTAAGCACTTTGCCCTCTGGGTGTCTGCAGCTGGATCGCGGAGCTTCAGCGATTTGGCACACTGTAATGGGCGCTCTGACGGCCTCTTCTCCCGTGTGGCCTTCAAGCAGCCGCAGAACACCTGCCTTACTGAGCCCCGGGTCTCCAAGATGCTCGCACAAACACTTGGGTTTTTCTTTTTCTTCTCTCTCTCGCTCCCCCTTCCCTTTCCTGCCTGAATTCGAGGGTGCAGGATGAATGTGCTATTGAAAGGCCATTTTGACAACACCACTAAATATGGATTCCTCTTGGTTGCCAGGATTTCTCCAGTTTAGATCAGGGCTGCACGGAAGGGGATGGGAGGGTATTCATTGCCAAGACAGTGGTTATAGCTTGAAGTAGAAAACATATATATATATCTATCTATATATATATATATATATCTCCTGAGGTAGAAGACATAAGTATATAGGTATATATAGATAGACAAATATGTCTTCTTTGTCTATGTGTGTGTGTGTGTGTGTATCCAAACGTGGAATCACACTGTCGTGTGCTGTTGTAGTAGAACGTTATATTATGCTCATTTTCCTTGTCAATACGCCTAAAGTTAATGGCATAATATTTCATCATATGGAGGAGCCATCAACTTCAAAACCAAGTGTCTGCTGATGGACAAACAGAAATTTAGTTTGTTTATTTAATTTTGCTATTATTGACAGCATTTGATAGACACCTTCGCATACATACGCACCTTTTCAATCTGGTCTGAACACTTACTTGGGACAAATTCCTACAATGTTGTCCTATAAACGTCTGCATGTTTTAAATGCTGACACATATTGCTTTTATTGGGGTATAGTTGCTTTACAATGTTGTGTTAGTTCCCACTGTACAGCAAAGTGAATCAGCTATACACACACATACACCCCGTCTTTTTGGATTTCCTTCCCATTTAGGTCACCACAGAGCATTGAGTAGAGTTCCCTGTGCTATACAATAGGTTCTCATTAGTTATCTATTTTATACATAGTATCAATAGTGTGTATATGTCAATCCCAATCTCCCAGTTCATCCCACCCCCTTCTTTCCCCCTTGATATCCACACGTTTGTTCTCTACGTCTGTGTCTCTATTTCTGTTTTGTATATAAGATCGTCTATACCAATTTTTTCAGATTCTACATATATGTGTTAATAAGCGATATTTTTTTTTCTGACTTACTTTACTCTGTATGACAGTCAAAAAGACACCTGCAACCCAGTGTTCACTGCAGCACTATTTACAATAGCCAGGACACGGAAACAACCTAAATGTCCATCAACAGAGGGATGGATAAAGAAGATGTGGTTCATATATACAATGGAATATTACTCGGCCATAAAAAGGAACGAAATTGGGTGATTTGTAGAGACGTGGATGGACCTAGAGCCTGACGCATACTGCTCTTAAGAAAGGTGGGGGTGATTGAGAATTCCATCCCCTGTGTTAGAGGATGCCCACTCCCCCCTGCCTTCACCAGCACCGTGTCTGGTCATTAAAAGCAGTCTTTGCCCATGAAATTTTGAAATGTCCCATCGACAGAGGAGGTTAGAATGGAAGGGTGAGGAGGGCCTGGGCTGGGAGGGGGTGGGCAGGGGCGCTTGTGGAGAAACTGGGACTCTCGTGCACGGCTGCGGGGGATGGTGCAGCCACTGTGGAAAACAGTACGGCAGTTCTTCAGAGAATTAATAAAATTACTATACGATCCAGCAATTCCACTTCTGGGAGTACACTCAAAAGAACTGAAAGCAGGGACTCAGACACTTATACACCCATGTTCATAGCAGCATTATTCACAAGAGTCAAAAGGTGGAAGTAACCCAAGTGTCCATCGACAGATAAATGGATAAACAAGACAAGGTCCATCCACACGATGGAATAGTATTCAGCCTTAAAAAGGAACGAAGCACTGACACCTGCTACCACATGGATGAACCTTGAAGGCATTACGCTAAGTGAAAGGAGCCCATCACCAAAAGATAAGTATTGCATGATTCCACTGATACGAGGCACTAGACTAGTTAGACTCATAAAGACAGAAAGTAGAACGGTGGGTGCCGGGGGTTATGGGGAGTTAGTGTTTAACGGGGACAGAGTCTCAATTTGGGAAGATGGACAAGTTCAGAAGACGGATGTGGTGACGGCTGCACAACAATGTGAACGTACGTAACACCACTGAACTGTACACTTAAAACAGGTTAAATGGTTAAGTTTTATGTTGTGTCTGTTTTACCATAATTAAAGGAACACCTGACAGCAGTAGCACCCACGAGGGGCGCCTCCCTCACTACTTGGGGGCCCCAGAGTGAGGCGTTTGGGAGCCCCGCCCCCAGAGGACCAGTGATGAAAGGAGGCCCTTAGAGTGGACACAGGGTGGGGGGCTGTGCCCGGTGCACCCAGTGCAGGGGCGGCCCTGTCCCATCCATGCAGGCCCAGGTGCCATCTTTGGGAGACAAAGGTCACCCAGGGGACACGCTCCCGCAGAGAGGCCACCGCACTGCCAGCGTGTCAACACGTCTGCACTCAAAGGCACTGGTGGAGATAAGAATGCAGAAGAGGTGTAACCTAAGTGTCATCTGAAAGCTACCAGGGGCTTAGCTGCACTTCAAAGACGACACAGGGCGGGGCCCAGAGACAGCCAGCGCGCAGACAATGCATGCGGTGGGCCAGTGATTGTGACTTATCGTGTTCCACCGCTGGCGGCGGCTGGCGTGTGAAAAGGTGGCGGGACCTCTCCGTGGGGCTTTACGGGGATGGTAACTGATAAATCCCAGGAAGGGTCAAGCGAGCTCTGAGCGGGAAGGGACACCTTGTCCCCAGCAGCAGCTGAAGTCTTGAGCCCCCGATTAACTGATTAACCACAGTGAGAAGAGCCGGGAACACAAGGAGACTCAGGCAGCCCCAGGCGGGAGGCGCGCAGTGTGCCCACGGAATTTGACTCGCATTCCAGGAAGATGAATGAAGGCGGAGAATCTAACTCCCCCAAGTCTGGGTTACTTTAGTCCAAATTAAGAAAAAACCCCAAGTGCCTGAAAGTTCCCTGTGCTAGCAAACACGACGCCTTCTCCGCAAATGGCCGAGGAAACAGGATTCCCACCATTTGGTGCTAGTTTCGTTTCAGGACGAGTGGGTGGGGGGGAGGGCAGAAAAGAGCGCATTGCATACCTTCCGTTGGCCTCCGGGGTGGGGGTCAGGAAGGGGGGGCCGGTAGGGGCCTGAGGTGAGAGGGAGCTGGTGTAGGAGGGATACACTCCCCTTCCCTGTGGCGGAAGCACAGGGTGGGGAGTGCAGGGGGATGGGAAGTGAGCCCAATCACAAATTATTTGGGTCTTTACTTGAGGACCGCAAGAAGCCCTGGGATGGTTTCAGAAGAGACGGTGGGTTCCACGGCTCAGGGTCACGTCTCAGGCTCAGCAGTGGGGAGTGCGTTGCATTGGGTGGGGCAGGGAGGCAGCTGTTGGGGCGTCCGGGGCGAGCTGATGCTCCGCGGACCAGGGGAGTGGCCGTGAGGACCCAGAGGTGAAAGGAACTGGGTGAGGCTTAATGGGGTTCTTAATGAGCTTTTCCTAAAGTGCTTTATCACAATTTTTTTTTTTTTTAGCCAGCTTCTGCATTCTGTCTTAGAAAAGAGGTGACATAATTTGTATGGCGGGCATGATCTGGGAAAGGAGACGGAGGGAGCGTGCAGAAGCAGAAAAACCAAAGACATGGTTGGAGGCTGTTTCCTCTGCCAGAGCTGTCATGACTGTGGGAATCTCACTGATCGCATCACCTCCACTCTAGTGTAGAAAATAGCAGAGAGCCGGCACCCAGTGTCAGGAGGCATCAGAGTCCAGAGCCCTCTTTACTGCTGGCGAGCCGGGGCTGCCTGACCCTGACGTTGCCTGCCGGTTGCAGGCACAGACGTCCGTGGCGCCCGAGCCTGGACGCCCCCGTTGCTCACATGTTAATGCAGAGCTCTGGCCCTCAGCCTGTGCAGTCTGGTGGGTGCCAGGATGACCAACCGGGTGGGCCGCCCGGGATGGCATAAGTCCAGCCTGTGCCGCCCAGTCTGCTCCATCGGCAGAGCAAGTAGACACCCCAACATGGAAACGTGGGGATGGAAAGGCAGGGGGCCCCCAGAGGGGCCATGACTTACCTTGGTGATTCAGATCAGCAGGGGTACGCTGGCGGCTGCGCATCTGCATGGGTCGCAGGCTCCAGGCGGCAATTTAGGGACACAGCCCGGGATGCGTGGCCGGGGCCTCGGGTGGGGCCCATCGCCCGTCTGATCCCAGTGTCGTCTGGAGTAGGACGAGTGGGTGGCCCTTCCATGGTGAAGGTCAGGGTCAGTTTTAAACCCGCTGAGTCTGCAGTAACAGAGGTATCGGAGGAGACCTGTCCGAGGCCCAGAGGAGCAAAGAGCAGAGCCCAGGAAGAGCCCAGGAGCGAGACTGGCTGGAGATGCAGATTCAGATTCATCGGGAGGCTGACGGGAAGGCAGCTTGGATGCTGGGATCACAGCCTGGCTCCAGAGCCCCACTCCGCCCCCTGCTGCTGTGACGCCTGAGGCCACTGGCTTCCTCCCTCCGGTACCTCAGTTTCCCCATCTGTGAGGGACAGTAACAACCCCCCCTCCCCGAGTTCTGGGAGGTCAGGGAGCTGCATATGGAGGATGCACGGCACAGAGCCGGCCTCCAGAGATGTGCGTTCACGGTTTCCGCTCCCTGCTCAGCATTTTGCTCTATAGTCTGGAATCAAGAGACGTCCGACTGTAGGATAAATTATGAGACCCATACGGCCCAGGTCAAACTTGCCTAGACTGCTAAAAACACGTCTGATTTAACTCTGCAGAACACTGAGTGGTTTAACCTTTCGGGTCCTTTAAATAAACTCTCTCTGCTCTGAATGCCATTCTAGCTTGGACTGGAACCAACGGCGCAAACAGCCCCTCTGCCATTGCCCCGTGCTCGCTGGATGGCCTCCCTACCTCCTCACCGGGCGGTGGGCTCGGGGCCGCCTGCAGTTCAACCGCGCGTGCCAGCAGTGAGCGAGGGCCTTGCAGAGACAGCCACGAACGTCCTTGGCTCGATGGGGACGTTGCCTTTTGGGTTACTCCACTACCGGAATGTTCTGCTTCCTGCCAAAGACGGTCAAGTCAGGGCACATCTCCCCATTTTAGAGAAAACAACAGTTTTACAGGAAAACTCTGATGCAGCCTTTCATGAGCACGAACAAAAGCTCCCATCCCTCCAGCGCATCTGGGGACCCAGGAGATGGCATGGAGTGATCTGTGATTAAGATGCTCCCTCTTTTCATGTGCAAGAACCTCCTGGAAAAGTGGACCTGAAACAGCCCAGTTCCAGAGGGGAGGCTCCCAGATGGCAGGTCACTCCCGCAAACGTCAGGATTGAAGACCCCATGAGGTTAAGATGCTGACTCCAGGTCAGACTCAGGGAGACCCCATCCAAGCTCTGCGACCTTGGGCATCTTCTTACTTATTTTTTTGTCTGTCTATAATGCTGTTGTGAGCATCACATCAGACCATGCGGTGAATGACGGATAAATCACTACAGTTTACTGAGTGCTTGCCACACACGAGGAACGAATGTAACAGCGTCTCCTGTTATCAGTGTTTTAAAATCCCGAAAATAAAAACCCTGTGAGATGCTTATCATCATCCTCACCTCACAGATGAAGCGTTTGAAGCACAGGAATGTTAAGTAATGCGCCTCAGGTCACCCAGCTGGACAGTTCGGTCTCTTACCAACCATAGCACGTCCCCTCTCGTGTTAGCTTTCCTTCTTCTTATATTACTCTTGCTACTTTCCAACCCCTCCCTCTGCCACACCCCTGCCATCTGACAGCCCAGCTCATTGATGACCTTGTCCTAGTTTCTCTTCCCTCCTGGTTCTTGTTGTGTGAATAATATGCATGAACTTGACTCTCCCAGATGAACTTGAATTGTGTTTCAGGACTGGGGCTCAAGCATATCCCTTAGGAAATCTCCCCGGGTCCCTGCAGTCAAGGTCATGGCTCCCTGCTCTGTGCTTATCTCAGTGCCCGGTGTCTGTTCTTCCCATTGCGTCTGAGAAACGGTCACTCGTTCTTCCTTCCCACTGAGGCTGCAGTCTGTTTCTCCACCCTTGAACCTGGGCTTGGCCGTGGGACATGCTTTGGCCAGGGGGACTTTAGCAGATACGACGGGGGTGCTCGTGCCCGGGGCTCCACCCCTGGCTGCTCTTGGGACGCTGGGAACTCATGTGAACAAGCCTGGGCCAGCCTGCTGGAGAGTAAGGGCCACAGGAGGACCAAGATACGTGAATGAACACTTCCTACCGCATCTAGCGCCCAGCTGACCACAAAGCAGGAGAGAGCCAGCAGATAGCAGCCAGCCCATTCCAGGCCAGAGGAACCAACCATCCTCCTTACAAAACTGTGAACTAAGTAAGTTTTGGGGTGGATTCTTATGCAGCACTAGCCAGCTGATACACTCATGTATCTCCACTGCCTAGATCAGTGCAGGTACTGACACAGGTGCTCAAGGAGTGAATGAATTATGGCTCAATTCATAGTTGGAAGAATGGATGGGGAGGACACCAGAGTGTGACTTGGAGGAAACTTTACCTAAATCAGTCCTGGGAATGCTCCCGTTTCCTCTATTTCCCATCTTCAGATGGGATCTCCCATCTTCAGCTGCTGTAATGAACTCCACTAACACCTGTCAGCCTGAGTCACCAGGTCAGCACTCAGCAGTTACTTCCCGTCCACTGTGTCACACAGACTGATCTGCAGTCAGCGCTAGAGCTTACTCAGCTGCAGGAACAAATACCCCCAGAGTCTCTTTGGTTTACAACAGCAAAGATTCATACTTGCCCAGGCTGCAAGTCCACACACGGTTGGCAGGGGCTTTGCACCTCGTGGTCACCACTAAGGGGACAGCCTTCGTCCGCAGCACCGCCTTTGGGGGGTAGATGGAAAAGAGAAGACAGTGAACTCAGTGCTTTCCAGAGTGTCCTGCTCACTCCCCTGCCCAGCATGTAGCACAATGCCCAACAGGTAGCAGGTGCTCAGTAAAACTTAGTTGAATGACTGAATGATGTGGTAGGTCAGTCGTGGGGCATATGACTTCCTAGCACCTATGATTCTTTCATCAGAGGATTAATTTTGAAATAAATGTAGACTTACAGAAAAGTTTCAAAAATCACAAGGAAAGTTTCCATTTACCCTCACCAAGCATCCTGTAACATTAACTTCCGACATAACGACAATAAATTCAGCAAAACCAAAGAGTTAATATTGGTAGGGTACTAACGAAACTACAGACTTTATTGGGATTTCATCTTCCTTTCCCGCTAATGTCCTTTATCTTCCCAAGATCCAGCCCAGGATCCCGTGTTGCATGTAGTTGTCACGGGTCCTTGGTCTCCTCCAGTTGGGGACAGTTCCCCAGTCTTTCCTTGTATCTTAGGTCCTCAGCGTTTCTGAAGAGCACGGGTCATTTTTTGGGTTGGCCAAAAAGTTGGTTCGAGTTTTTCCATAACAGCTTATGGAAACCACGAACGAACTTTTTGGCCACCCCAATATTCCGTCGAGTACTCTTCTGTTTGGATTCTTCTGAAGTTTGCTCACGATTGGCTTGATGTACCGCATTCCTGGCAAGCGTACCCCAGAAGTGATGTTCAGTCCTTTTCAGAGGATCGAATTGAGGGGTACGTGATGCCCACGTGTCTTATTACTGGGCATCATGTATCTTAGTACGTAATAAGACACCGTGTGTCTTATTATGAGGAACTATTACTTAGTTCCTCAGGTGCGGCATTATTTATATAAGTGATGGTGACTGGGTCTCCTGGTTACGGTGGTGTCTGCCAGGTTTCTCTAAAGATGCTATTTTCCTGGTCACATTCTAATTCAATGGCCAGCGTGCTTGTCCAGCTCTGCCCCTGGATGGACGCTGCTGGAGGACAGGTCCATCTCTGTGTCCTCATTGTATCCCCAGCACCTACGACCATATCTCGTAGTTTTTTTGCGCTCAGCAACATCTTATTAAATAAATGAATGTCCTGAAAGATATAACCAATTTTCAGGGAGCTGATATTCAGGGAGTAGTGGGTTTTCAGACTAATTATCCTGAATAGAAAGGGCAAATGATTCCATCCATGCCTCTTGCATTTCTCATGTATTTTATTTAATCTCATAATTTACCTTCTCTATCCTCTGATTCTTACCCCACAGCTGAATGAGACACTTCATTTAGGGGACTCATGATTTCGGTCCTATGAAATTTTGGAAGACTAGGTACAAAGCAAACAACCTTTACATAGGCAGTAGAAAATTGATATTTCTTACTGACCCATTTTCATGAAGCCCACCTTCCCCTAGCAGCCATCCTGATTTCCGAGTCTTTGTGAAGGCTCCAATTGCCAACATCACAGCCACTTCCAAAGGGAGGTTCAGTGTGATGTCTCAGCTACAAGTGACCAGGAATCTGACTAACAGTCGTATAAACAAGCTAGGTAATTATCTCTGTCTAGAGAAGCACACAGGGAGTTCCAGGTTTGTTCAGTGGCTTCATGATGTTATCAAGGCCCAGGCGTGTCTCTCCTCAGCCTGTTGCCATTTCGTCCTCAGGCTACAGGACAGCAGCCCCAGACGTAGGTATCACATCCTGTCTCGTGACAGCGTCCAAAGCAGATGCGGGGGAAGGGGGTTTCTTTTTGCATTTCCCTTATGTCTTCTTGGTGGGAACTGGGTCATAAGACCCTCCCTAATTACAGGAGAGCCTGGAAAAGAGAGCACCTAGGATCATAGCCTCCACCGTGGGAGGTGGACCTGCCAGCACACAACGGGGTAGGTCTGACTTTGCCTAGACAACTTGTACCATCTGCTACGGGGAGCTTCTAGGTGGGGTTTCTGAGTGGGAACCTGGCTGGACCCCAGGGCCATCCAAGGAAGTGGAAAGGTAGAGGTGGTCTGGGGCAGACTTTCTGCATTTCTGAAGGTGTTTTATCAGGTCAAGACCAGAACTGGAATCCGAGTCTCCCATTTGCTATCTTCTTGGTCACAAACCCCATAAAACTCACAATACATAATCACAGTGAAGCCTGCATGAAGAGCAACTGAGGAAAAACCCCATCCATGCATCTTTCCATCCATCCATCCATCCATCCATCCCTCCTTCCATTCATCCATCCTCCGTCCACCCATCCTTTCATCCTCCCACCCTTCCATTTGCCCATCCATCATTTTATCCTTCCTTCCTTCCATTCTTTTGTCACTTCTTCTCTCCCTCCCTCTTTTCCTCCCTCCTTCCACCCATACTTTCAATGTTTGGGGGAGCCATTTGACCCAGTTATGACCAACGAGGCAGAAGAAGTCTGCTTCTGGGGAATATTTTCACCCCCTTATGTAAGGCAGGGACATTCAAGAGAGGCCTCTTTCTTCTTGGGACGCTATCGGGAGAGAATAAGATGCTCGGAGCTGCCACAGCCATGTTGCAACCATGAGGCAAGACATGTGAGGACGAAGCACTCTGAGTCTCACACTGAGGGTGCACGGTGAGGAGGGAACAGTGCCTGCTCTTCCGGGCTCGCACTCCAGTGCGAGACACAGAGAGAGATGGGCAGTTACAATTCCACGTGAACTAGCAGTGTCGGGGGATGTGCTGGGAGGTACAACTGGGTGCTGAGGTAGAGGCTCAGTGAGGAACAGAAGGGAGCTAGAGAAGAGAATTCTGGGCAGAGGGCACAGCCTGAACAGAAGAGCACGGAGCTATGATGCATTCAGAACGGAAGGGCTGAGAAAGAAGGTGGAGGTAAGCAGGCTGGACGAGAAAGACAGTGGGACCCCCGCCCCGGCTCACTCTCCCCTGACAGCCCTGGGCTCCCGAGGTTGTACCGCCAGCTCTGTCTCCTTTCTGTCAGGTTCCTCAGTTAAGCTGATGCCCGCCCAGCCCCATCCTGGGGGCACACTCAGCGGCGAGTTTGGGCCTTGCTTCTCTCCATGATGTTGAGAAAATTCTGGCCTTTGATATCTGCTCTGGACTCCTGTTTCCTGCTCTCTGCGGTCTCGGGGTGGACAGAGGATGACAAGCCCCTCCCTGGCCGCCCCTCCTCGCCTCTCCCCCTTGATAAGTTCAGTATCAAATGTCCGCAGAGGCAAGCGGCAGAACTCAGGCCTGCGCTGCCACCGACAGGTTCATCGTGCACAGAAGCCGCTGACGGTCTGGCTCTGGGCCGTCACCTCGGAAAGCCGGAAAGCCGGACTCGCCCTAAGCCATCGGCAGGCACGGCTCCTGGGAGAAAACCTCCCCGGGACGTACTATTGAGAGCTGGGGGGAATATCCCGAAACATAACAAAAGAGCAACAGAAATGAAAATGGCCAGGGACACGGCCCCACCATAGATTTTCCTGGGCAAGGTGGGCTGGGGAGCTGCGGGGATGCGCTTTCCGAGAAACCGAGGCCAAAGGAACAAAGGACCTGCCACAGCTTGGCAGGAGCCCCTTCCTCTGTGACATTAACTGCTTCCTGTTCCCTTCCAACGGGGCAGGAAGATGGAAGTGAAGGAAATGGAAAATGCAAACTACGCACCAATTTAGCATTTTGCTGCTTGGAGCTCAATTTTTGCTAACTTTGGAAATGCCAGAAGAGAGAGGTGTTTTGTCAAGACATTAAAAAAATTATTTTTTAAGGGAAACAAGACAGGCTATTCATGGCCAGCAGGGAAGCACACCTCCCGGGGTGCTCGGCACTCCCACTGCACCCGGTAATTTGATTTAATGAGATGATGAGGCTGCTGTGAGCATCCTCTCTCAGCCCCAGCGCTGTGCCACGAGGGCGGCGAGGGCGTTAACTCAGGCACAGCCAGGCCTTTGAAGCTTTATTTTGTTTTCCCCCTGCCCCCTCCCACCCCCTGCCAATTAACACCCGGGAGAAATCACATCCAGGTGTAGTCTCAAGCTGGCCCTGCCAGTAGAGCCACCTTGTCCCCAAGGGCAAGAGGGCGCTTCAGGGCCAGAAGGTGCCTGGCGAGTCTCCAAGCGGAGCGCCTGGCATCAGAGCTGGGATGCAGGGGCGGTGTGCCTGGGCTGCTGGCGTGAGCGGCTGATCACGGGATGACGTCCCTCTGAGCACCTCTGTAGCTCCGGCACTGGGATGCCCTCCCTCCAGAGCCCTGCGTGGCTGCCTTCTCATGCTGCTCAGGTCCGCGCCCAGGTGCTACCTCCCTCAGGAGGCCTTCCCTGACCCTCCCACGTCTAAAAATAGAGCCGCCTCCAAGTGGACCGCCCTCCATCTCCTTACCCGGATTTGTTTTGGTTATCTTTCTCTGTAGCACTTGCCACTACTGAAAACACATTATTTACCTCTTGTTTTCTTTACTTTACTTGTTTGCTTGTTTTCCTGCCTCTTGCATTAGACTGTCACCTATAAGAGGGCAGGGAGTGGTGGTATCCACTTTTGTATCCCCGGGGGGATACCAGACACAGAGCAGGAGCGTAATAAACATCCCTGAGTGTGTGAGTGTGTGTGTGTGTGTGTGTGTGTGTGAGCGTGTGACCTCCTAATATGGAGCCTGGCGTGCAAGCAGTGTCGTTCATTCATTTATTCACTATCTAGGCATTTGTTCAGTTCACACATGACAACTCTTTAAAGAAAGTATGGACACCAAGGGGGAAAGGGGTGGTGGTGGAGGGAATTGGGTGATTGGGATTGACACATATATACTATCGATACTATGTATAAAATAGAAAACTAATGAGAACAGACTGTATAGCACAGGGAACTCTAGTCAATACTCTGTGGTGACCTAAATGGGAAGGAAATCCAAAAAGAGGGAGTATGCGATGCAGAGCTGACTCACTCACTTTGCCGTACAGCAGAAACTAACACAACGCTGTAAAGCAACTATCCTCCAATAAAAATGTGAAAGAAACATTCTTATATCTGTTAAAAAAAAAAAAGAGAGAGAAAGTAGCATACACCCCCTTTTGCAGTTGAGAAAACTGAAGCTCAGAGAGGTTATGTGAACTGTCAGTGCCGCACAGCCGCGGAGTCGGGTTTGGGGCCCAGGGCTTCCTGACGCCAGCACCCCAGCCACCCTTCTGAGCACCACCTCCCCACCCAACTGCTCACGCTGGGGTAAGTGGACCCTGTCCATCCTGGGAGCTGCCGAGTCTGGGAGGCCCGGAAGTCCCACGTGGGGCTGTTACCTGGGCTCATTCTGTGTTGCCCGGCAGGGTTTCCATTGCGGAGTCGAGTCTCAGGGATGGGTGGGACGCCTGGCAGTTGGCCTCTCGCTGTGATAATGACCGCCCTTCATTCAGCCCGTTTGCTGACGGCCTGCAGTGGGTGGTTGTGTTGCACGGCCCTGGTGTCCGTTGGTGAGGGAACGCTGGACAGGACCTGCTGTAGAGCGTATGTAGGTCAGATTTCATCCTTGTAGCCACACACCTGCCCATGTCTCACACATACACACACACACACACACACCAGGTCATTAAGGCAGGGGAACCTTGCTGCATCCACTGACGTCATTAGCTCGTGGCTCTTGGTCATTAGCTCGTGGCAGCTGGACCAACAGCCACGGACCTGAAGAAAGACTCCAGGGCTGAGGACACTGGCACCTTCTAGCCCCAAGGAAGCTGGGCTGAGGTCCTGGTCACAATCTCCTTGATTTGGGGCACCAATGACTTTCCAGTGGACAGCGACGGGTCCTGAAGCCGTGAGGACCCATTCTTGTGTTCCGTGTCCAGTGGGATAATTCGGTGCTGGTTAAAATGGTGCCGACAGAGTGGTCGCTGAGCAGGGGCTGAACGTGCCAGCGCCTGGGGTCCAGACCAGGGAGTGGGGAGCCCAGAGGGCTAGAGCCGATGTATCCCGTGGTTGCTCCAGGTTTCACAGTTCGAGGAACTGCCAGGCTCTCTTCCAAAGTGGTGGTCCCATTTCACATTCCCAGGTGGTTCTCTTTGGTAATGATTTTTTTCCTCTTCTGCTTACTTGTATCTTATAAATTGTTGGCAGTGCTTATCTGCCTCTTACAGGTTTTTTGTTTTTTCCTGAAAATAACGTTACCTAACAATAGAAGGTGGCATGGAAGACGAGTCATATCCGGCCATACCGTCCGGGATGCTCTTGGACTCCAGCAGTGGCCACATACTCTGAGGCGATCGGGACATCTCACGGGGGCGGGGGGATATTGTAAAGGACACAGGTTCTATGGAGAAACAGGGGGTTTCTTGAAGGGCTCGCAGGTGTTTGTGTGGATCACAAGACCTCAACTCCAGCAGAGGTTTTATATTCCAGCTGGCATCACTGCGGTGGAAGTGAGCTGCCCCCAACTTAAAAGTGAGAAGGGGCTCCTGTCCCCCTTTCCTTTCTACACCTGGAGTCCTACCTCCTGACCCTGGGAGCCTGGAACAGAGGCTGCTCTGGGCCACATGGGAAGTTGCCACTAACCACATCAACATCTTTAAAATTAATAACATGAATTCCATAGCGAAGGGGCCTGGGCCGGAGACGGAAGGCTGCTGGCTGCTCCTGGGCCCCATGCGGCAGGTGGGGGACAGGAAACCTGAGGACAGGTGGGACCTCCAGGTGGGCACTGTCCTGTCGGAACGTAAGACCTTAAGGACTTGGCTGTTACTGGGATCAGATCCATCCAGGCTGACTGGGGACGGGTTCCCCGAGGTGTAGAGCCCTCATTTCAACACACATTGTCATATATTTATGACTTAGATTGAAAATAGGCTCTTTCTACTCCCCACAAATGCACCTCTCCCCTGCGTGTTTGGTTTAAAAGGATCCGATCTTTTTATCCGAGGGCTATCCTATGATTCAGGTTTCGTAGAAGTCCGAATTCTTAAATTCTGCAGCTTCAGAGACTTCAGAAGGTCATCCAGCTCAGACCTCTCCCTCTATCCAAACACATCCTTATACTGACCTGAAGACCAGGAAGGATCCTGTGGGCAAGTTTCTAAAGCTCTTTCTTTAAGCTTCCTTATCAGCAAACTGGGCAAAATAATAAGGTCCATCTCAGAAGGATGTTGGGAGGATTAAATGAGATACGCAGGTAATGCTCTTAGCGCCATGCCAAGCACGTTGTGAATCTTCAATACATGACTGGGTCATTACTGTCAGCCGCATCACCAATGCACAGTATTTTCTTTGTGTCCACCTCTCACCTTGTGAAACAATCTAGTCTGTAGTTGGCGCACAAATGAAAGCTGCCTTCCCAGTTCCATTACAACACAGGCGGCAGAGCTCTTAAGTTCATTCCAGACCAGCAGGAACAAGCTCTTACCTTCTCAAGGGCTGAGGTCAGAACACTGGGACAGCCCAGGTGGCACAGTTGGCATCTATGACGCCACGCCCTCTAGTGGAAGGATGAGGCTCCTGAACTCAGGTGTGCAAGGAGGCAGGTGAACGGGAACGTGGCAAAACCAGGTGAATTTTCATGCCATCTGAATTCAGTCCTCCTGAAACACAGACAGAAAGAAAGGTAATCAAGATTACAAGGCAACGCAAACAGAAATGCACCCTGAGGAATTTACACTTGCAGTATTCTTTTCGTGCTTTGTTTTCTAAATCTATGCTCAAAACCACAGAGCAAGATAAGAGAAGGGGCCGCTCATACGGAGGGGGCTTCCTTTTGAGCTGAAAAAGAAATGTTCTAAAATTAACCGTGCTGATGGTTGCTTAACTCTGTGAAGATACTAAAAATCACTGAATTTTATACTTTAAGTGGATGAATTGTATGGGATGTAAATTATATCCCAAAAAAGCTATTTTTAGAAGTTGACTTTTCAAAATGTTTTATTGTTTTTACATATTCCCCCAATACTTATTTATTATAAAAATAGAAAACACCCATAAAAATAGATTTTTCTCGAAGTATTTATTTGTATTCTTTGAGTTCCATATGCATTTGTAGTTTGCCCCACCAGAGAAGTTTCCCTGAGGTCAGCAGTACATCCCAGCGTGTGCCAGGTGCCGTGGAGACGGGAGATGTGCAAACCTGGATGGTGAATTGAAGTCTCTTGTCCAGTTGTGGAGCCCAGACTGATCCTTAGAAGCAACGGGATGAAAAGAGACAAGATGGCTCAGAATAAGGGGCTACATTATTTGTTGAGTGAGTTAAAAGAAGGATATTATTGAAGGTTCAAATAATCCAGGAAGGTTTCATGAAGGAGGGACCTGAGCTAGAACTTAATAGGTTTAATAGAAAGGACAAGTAAAATATAATACAACTAAGTAAACTAAAAGTAACACAGAGTTAGGATAACAGCCTCAGCTCTCCCTCCTCGGGCCTACCGTCTGCGTTCTGCACATCGCGGACGTTCCCCAGAAGACAAGCGTATCATTCAGGGAGGAGAGGGTCCCGCTTCCCCCTCTCCAGTCTCCGGCTGGCACTCTCACTGGTGGACCCCAGCTGGAAGCCAGAGAGCAGGGGCCACTGACACAGACCATGTGGCCAGTCCCCAGGGAGAGAGGATGGAGGAAAGGACGGAAGAGTGATCGGGAGGGCTGCGTGGAGGTGTCCAGCACCTCTAGCTGGGGCTGCAGGGGGTTAGAGTGTGACCCATCCGTGTCCCAGAGGAGAGGGGGTTTTCTCAGGCAGACTGACGGAGGACAGAGATGGGGGCCCTGAGCTGCCCCCGACTTTCAATAGCAGAGGGGCGAGAGTGTCACTTTGATTGTTAGAGTGTGCGGGGCTCTTGCTAAGGTCTCGTTATTCATTTACTTTAGAGCCTCGCTACCCCGCAGGTGAGGTGGTCCTCAGCCATCACCTGGGAGCTGGTTAGAAATGCAGAATCTCAGCCCCGCCTGCACACGCTGCCCTAGAACCTGCATCTCGACCAGACGTGCCTGGCGATTCAGGCGCAGGCTGCTCTCGGAGAAGCTCTGCTTTCAATCACCCCAGGGATGCGGGTGGGTGCGGGTGGTTAGGAACAAGCCAGTTAGAGTTCAAAGGCGGGCGTGTCCACCTGCTGCAGGTATTGGGCCTCAGGCACAGGAAGTCATGGCCGCTGGCCTGTCCATCCAGCAGGGTGGACACCGCTGCTCCACCCGCCTCGCTCTTCCCTGCAGACGCCAGGAGCAACCCCACGATTCTCTCCACACAATATACCTGCATCCACTTCTTGTCCATCAGAGCAGACAAGTGAGATGAAATGTAGTTGCCTAATGTATATATGTAATATCGCCCATGTATAACTTTTGGCAGAAATATAAAATCCGCTGATTCCCAGAAGACAAACACCACGCCTGTTCTGTACATTCATTATCCCTGTAGGCCCACACCGTCCGTGGCCAGCAAGCCAGAAGCTCAGAGTCCGGTCAGGAGGCGGAGAGATGACATTGACACTGTACGTCCGAAGTACCAGCCCTGACAGAAGTGCCGTTGCTGCGGTCTCCGAGGCCAGCTCTGTCCCCACGGGAGGGAGGAGGAGGGAGGAAATGCCCTTGACCCAGGCCTGGGAGGATGGGCCTGTGTGGCCAGAGGACACAGACAGGGAGACAGGAAGTCATTCCCACCGAGAAGGAAGCCACCTGCTACAGAGCAGAGTTGAGTCCAAGGCCCGACAGCGGTGCTCACCTGTCGGAAGGTGTGGGTCTGAGCTGGAGAAGCAGCAGGTGTGTCTTTCTTTGGCTCCCAAGCATACCTGAACTGATATTGTTATTTCTTAAACTTCTGAAAGTGAAGTTAAACATAGAAACGACAACATGGATAACCATGCGTATTTGACGAGCATCTTGGAAGGCTGTCAATGTGGAGATTTAAGATGCCCCCTCCCCTTACCTAAAAGCGCTCTGCCTGGGATTGATGCGTCGGTCACCTGTGCATCTTGAGCAGATGTTGAGAAAGGCAAAGGTCCAGTTCTGACGTCTTGCAAACTGGACACGACGGCAAGAGGGGGCTGCTCCAGCTCATGGTGGCCTCACACCATGTGGACGGAGACGGCTCTACCTGTGGGAGAGCTGGGCTGTCCAGACACTGTGGGCCTGGCAGTGACCCTTGAGAAATGGAACAAAGGGACCTTAAGTTGCATCTGATTGGATTCCACGCGGTGCCTAATGCAGTGTAGACACGAACTGATGGTGGGTGTGGGGCAGCGTGACTTGCTGGGGTGGTGACATCGTGTCACATAGAGATAACCTCTGGCATCAAAGGAGACATACGCTGGCTGTGCTGTGCACCAGTGAGTAACCTGGGAGATGCAGAAGTACCCATAGCTCCGAGCCCCTCCCTGCAGTGGAGAAACAGCAGTGGTTAGCGCAGTCCCAGCGCTGAGGGGACGCTCCGTCCAAGTGGTGATGGGAGAGGGTTGTTATCCTCATGCTATCTTCAAGATGCTGCTAGTGTTACTGCACAGGGAATTTGCCAAAATTGTATTATGTAACGTGTTTTATATTAAAAAACATGGGGTGGGGCGGCCGCTCTTAGAAGTATTTCACCCATGAGTGCTGTGTAGGATCCATGAAACGACAGGACCCATGTGCTCTTAAGTGTACACACTCCAACTCTGCGTGTGCCATGTCATCGACACGGAAAACACTCCACACTTACACGTTCTCCAAGCTGTCAACACGTGTGGGGCGTGTGGGCTGTTCCCGGGCTGTTGCCAATATCGCAGTAGAGGGAGGGGTGGCTTCAATGATTCAAACCATGACACTTACAGCGGGGCTGGGAGAACCCAGTGATGGGGGGACGGCATCACGGGTGCAGCCTCTTCAGGACTTTCAGTCTCCCGGCGGCCAGTCCGTTCCCTGACCCGCTCCACCAACCCTCTCACTCTCCTTCCCTGCTCTTCAATTAGTTGTCTGTATTCTCTGCAGGTGTCCCTTGGAGACCACACAGCCTCTTTTTTTTTTTGACATGATTTCAGACAAATGGAAGAGGAGCACAAAAATTCTCAAGATGCCCTTCTCCGAGGTTCCCCAAATATGAATGTTTACCTTCTTTGCTGTATCCCCTCCCCAACACACGGAGGAAGTTGCGTATAAGATCTGCCTCTCCACTAAATACTACCATGTACGTTTCCTAAAAATGAGGGATTCTCTTCCGTAACCACAGTACAATAACCAAAATCAGGAAACGAAAACTGACTCAACTCTGAGCTAACCTACGGCTCTTATTCAGATTGTCCGATCGTCCTAAGAAAGCTCTTGATTGGCTGAAAGTGGATGGACCGACAGGCTGAAGAAGATGTGTCTCGTCTTCAGCCGGCTCCTGCCCTGCTCGGCCTCTCTGTTCCACTCCTGCATCGTTTTCATTTTTGGTCATTTCTAATGATGTCCTACTTCAGAATCAGTAGTCATACTGATGACAGGAATGGTTCTGTATGGGCTTCCCTTTCTGTAATAAATCTCTGTTGCAAGCAACACTCCAAGCACTTGCCAGTAGGCCACGTGTTTCAGAGCTAGGAATGATCACGGAGGTCTGCTTTGATTTTGAGATAACTTATGAAACTAGTTGTGTGTGTGTGTTTTGTAGGAAGCACGTGTGCCCATGTATGTGAGCATAGAATAATACTGGGGCAGCTGAGTCAGGCCATCTGAGGGGTGGTCTTGAATTTATACAGCCCTCCTGGTTGACTCTGGGGAAGTAAATTCAGTCCCCCGGAGCTTTACCCATCACCTGTCGACTTTCAGGCAAGACCATTGTTATTTAAAGGGATCTGTTTTGTTTCAACATTCTAAGTCCATAGATATGCTGAGAATCTATCAGTGGAATATTATTCAGCCTTAGAAAGGAACGAAGTACTGACAGATGCTACGACATGCATAAATCTTGAAGACATCAAGCCAAGTTAAATATGCCAGTTACGGAAAGACAAATACCGTAGCATTCCACTTCTATAAAGCAGCAGGGGAGTCAAATTCATAGAGACGGAAAGTAGGACGGAAATGGTACAGAGGAACTTATTTACAAAGCAGAAATGGAGTCACAGATGTAGAGAACCAAGGGGGGAAGCGGGGGTGGGATGAGTTGGGAGATTGGGATTGACATTACATACACTACTACGTATAAAATAGATAACTAATGAGAACCTACTGTAGAGCACAGGGAACTCTACTCAGTGCTCTGTGGTGACCTAAATGGGAAGGACATCCAAAAACAGGGGATACATGTATATGTATAACTGATTCACTTTGCTGTACAGCAGAAACTAACACAAGAGTGTAAAGCAACTATACTCCAATTAAAAAAATGTTAAAAAAAAATGTAGAATGGTAGTTTCCAGGGACTAGGGGAGGGGTAGGATGGGTTCGGTGTTCAGTTACAGAAGACGAAAAAGTTCTAGAGAAGGTCTAGGTGGTGACAGTTAAACAACAGTTCGAATGCACTCAATACCGCAGAACTGTGCACTTACAATGGCTAAAATGGAAATTTTATGGCAGGTATATTTTACCACGATTTTAGAAAACTAAATAATTTTTTAAAAACTTGCATTTCAGAGGAAGCCAGGATTTTAATTCCTTGCACGGAGAAGCTCTGCAGCAGCGCTTACAGCTGTCATTGTTCCGGTCCCTCTAAAGCCTTCCTAAATTCATCAGCCACCCCACTGTCACTGTCCCCGGTTCTCTTGAATGTCACCCAGAAAAGTGAGCAACACAGGGACACACTCGTAAACGTTCCTCCCAACAGCAGTTGTTGGCCTGACGTTAGAAATGAATGATTTCCCACTGTACCAGTGACTCTGTTGTGGGTTCTATTAGCACCATATGTTACATGTCTACGTTTTTAGTAAAGCCTGGCCTTGTGAGTCCTCTGCCATCTGCCCTGGCATCGGCACAGCCCACGTGGTGCACGGAGGCCAAGGGCCTCCTCCACCCAGCATGGTCTTGCATCTCTTCCCAGCCAGAAAGCACGCGTGGGCAGAACGCATGGGACCAGGCGAAAGGTGGATTTTATCAGCTCCGCAAGTCACAGTGAAGTGGGCCCATGTTTTGTAAAACATGTGTTTGGCAAATGATTCCCTGTGGGCTGCAGAAATCCAGATGGAGGAAGTTTTCTAAGTGCAACGTCAGAATTTTACATCTGCTGATCCCAACAAGTGCACGGCGCCAAGGAGAAGAAGCAGGTTGTCTGTCCACAAAATCTGAAAGCACGGATGTGGCTCTGGGGGCTTGTTCAAATCTAGAAGACAAAGGCGCCGTGTCTTCAGCCCCCGCTGGGCCTGGGCGTGGTGAGAGCAGAAGTCTTAGCATCACCCAGAAGGGCTCAGTTTCACAGATGAGGAAACGGAGGTATGGGGAGGTGGGCAAAGTGAGTTGCCCAAGGCTGCCCAAGGTTGGAACCTGAACTTGGGGCTCTGTGGACTCAGTGTGGGGTCCTCTTCCTCACCACGCTGGACATGACATTGGCAAGTAGCCCCTGACACTGTGGGTCTGCTTGTCTAGGTGCTGCCGTTCACTGCTGTGGCTAAGTCTGGGGCTGTGCCACTCTGACTCCCGGTTCCCTGTGCGCAGATGGGAGGCTTAGCTGACACAGTGCTTGGTCCATAGGGGACTGATAATGGTGAGTCATGGTACAGAAGAGGCCAACAGGACACGGCCTGGGTGTACATGCGGGTCAGAGGGAGGGCTGGGGACTGGCTGGGCTGGGAATGGCGGGGGAGATTGCCCGCAGAGAGGGGCCTGCAGACCCCATTGCCACATTCAGGCTGGGTGTCCTGTGGGCTGAGACAGGGCTGAGAGACGGGAGGCTCGTCCGCACGAGCCCTTTTGAGGCTGCACGGCCACGTGCTCCACTTTGACGGTGGTACCCGGAAGCCGCGCTGGCTGTCCTGCGCTCACCCTTCCAGATCCGTCCTGCATGCCGCTCTGTGCCTTGGGAGGCTGCCCTGCAGGGACTGTGTGACGGGGCTCCCACACTTCCGGTCGGGATCAGCCAATGGGACATGCCAGAACAGACTGGAGGGCGGGAGCGGAGAGAGGCCGGGGGCTTCTCCTTTGCACCCCTCTTGCCTGGCTGGAGCCTCCCCAGCTCTCTCCCCTGCCACTTCCAGCCCAGGTGGTAATGGCCCCCCACTCCTGTTAGCCTCTGGATACCTCCCCATCCTGGTTGGTCCCCAGAGCCCTGCCCTCCCGCCCTGACACTGGCTTCAGTTACCTCTGGCGGAGGCTGCTTTCCTGGTGGGACCATGATGGATACAGGAGGTGATCGGCAGACCACAGGAATGCTGACATCTAGATTCAAGGTAAGGACAACGCATATTCTGTGCGGTGTGGAAATCCCCTCGAGATCCCACATCAAAGGGATGACGTGTTAGGGAAAATGCCCAGAGGCCTGGGCTACTTCCGCAGTCGTGGAAAAGTCTGCAGAGACCAGAGCTTATGCGGAGGCCACAGTGACTCCCCTCCCACCCAGATGGAAGGGTGTCTGAGGTCTCTGGGGCTGGTCTGGGAGTCAAATTGGAGTCCAGTCTATTGTATTACGAACTAGCACCCTCCCTCCTTCCTCCCCTCCCCCCTCCTCCCTCCCCCGCCAACACCCTCCACAACCCACTTCCTTTCTTCAGGAAGCACAGAGTCAAAGAAAACACATGTAAACCCCATTCTGGAGCTTTTAACCCAGTTCAGCAGTTATCAACAGTGGTCCTTGGACTCTGAGGTGTTTCGGGCCTCTTCATAATACGTTGGAATGTTATAAAATCATGCGTGGGGAAAAGATCCGTGCACAGTGCAGGACAGACCAACAGAATGGAATGTAGTAAGTACAAGACGTTCATTCATTTGGTTTCAGATTCCACATCGCTACCAGTCTTTAAGGAACTACCTCTTGTCGAGTTTTGGTGTAGTATTAATGAATAATACCCATAATTATCCAAAAAGACTATTAACTTACCTCTTAATTTCCAAATCCATATCTGTGTGTGTGGCCAGGCTTTTTTCATATGCACCAGATTGAATGATGAAGCAGATAGGAGAAGCCAGCTGTTTCCTAAGCCAGACATTAAACATGTTTGCAAAAATGTAAAACACTGAATTTTCTCACTACTTTTCTATTTTGCAAAACATGATTATTTCTTTCAAAAATACGTTAGTTGTGTTAACATGCAGTGGGTTTACCCTCGTTCTTATTTATATGACTTAATGGATAAGATATTTTTAAATTTTATCAATTTTACTGTAAAATTCTGTAAAATTTGACAGATATAAGCCACAAAAGCAAAGCTCTTTAGGATTTTCAACCAGTTTTAAGAATGTAAAGAGTCCTGAGATTCAAAGGTTTGAGAGCCTCTGTTCTAGGAGCGATACTGTAAACACTAATATCAGTTGACGCCTGAGGAAGGGGCAGATGGCGCTCATCCCCCATGCTTTCAGCAAATCCCCACTGCTAAACTACGTGCCAGAGAGTTAGGGCTTGGGCATACAGTGTCAGAGTGCCCAGGAGGTTAGGGTTCTGTTCCACCAGTGGGAAAGCTGTGTCACCCTGGGCAAGTTCATTTCCTTCTCTGAGCCTCATCTGGAAATGGGGATTCAGTGGTTCCCGCCTGCAGGAGTGTGCCTTGTGGGAACCAAGTGGTGGTGGAGCTGAGGAAGGTGAGCACGGGCTCACCCAAACGGTGCGTGTGCCGGCCCCACGCTCAGCATTTCACAGCCAAGGTCTCCCTAAGTCCTCGTGCAGCCCCTAACCCAGTACTGTCACCCCTTCAGGCTGCTTGGGAGGGTGAGTGAGACGGCGCCTGCCCATGCGAAGACGGTAAACCCCAAACATCTTCGGCGCCTTCCTATTGCTAAGGGTAAGGACTCTTGCAAAGATCCTTTTCTGAAGGTTAGGGATGCCCGCTGGGCAGCAGGGAGCCTCACACCTGGAGGACAGCACACATCTGGGAAAAGACGCCAATAATCTCCACAAAACTCCTTCCCGGCCTCGGGCCAGTGGGCTGTTTAGAAACGTCCAGGGGGCAGGGAAGACCAGCTGCTGAGGAGCCTGCCCTCCCCGGATCCTTGAGAATCAGGTATCCCACGCTGTGCTGGCTCACAGGGGCGGCCAACAACCCCTGCGCTGGTCTGCCTGGCTGCTGGGTAATTTTACAAACTGGTTTTTACTGGCAAGGGAGGCGGGCAGATGTGGGTAGTGGAATATGCCGCAAGGTCACAGGATCAGATCTGGCCCGGCTATTGGAGACTTCTGGGGTTATCTGCCCTCTGAGAAGCTGTCTATTTTGGGGACCTGGGTCAATGCTTTCAGCCAGCAAGTGTCTGTGAAGCACCTAGTAGGCTCTAGGCACCGTGCTGAGCGCTGAAGACACCGTGGTGAGCAAGGCTGATAGAGTTCTCATCCCCACGGCAGGTCACGTGCACAGGTTCTGGGGATCAGGATGGGGGCATTACTCTGCCTGCCTCATGGGGGGGCAGAGCTGCGTCTCCAGGCCACCCTGTCAAGGCTGTGGGTGCTGACCCGCTGCGCTCCTGCATGGACGCGGGGCTAACGACTTGGTCAGCGGCTGGGCTCCCTCTGGCTGCCCCACACGCAGCCACGGACGCGGCCATGGGCCGCCTCCTGCCAGCGTCTCCTTTCGTTTCCAGAGCGGAATCCTCAACTTGACGGCACACTCAGTGGCCTGGGGCCTTGCCGGAGGCCGGCGGGGCCCGCGAGTCTGCATTTCTAGCCGTTCCTGCTCCCGGGGACAGCATGGCTGCTGGTGTGGACCACGCGTGGGAGGGCATGGGTGGAATTTCTGCTCCATGCTGATCCCCATGGCCTGGAACAGAGGTTGGCACATAGTAGGTGCTTAATAAATACCCAGTGAATGAATGGATTCCCCTTGGTCCCTCCCCTGTTTCTCAGCACCAGGACCTGGCATCTTTCTCTTGCTGACAGGCCCTCTGGAGTTCTGGTGGAGGGAAGGAGCCCGAAAGGCACCAGCTGGAGTGACAAGTAACAGACCCGACAGGCAGACACCGCTCCCTTTCTTCCATGATTCTCTACGTCTATTATTTGTATACTGTTTCACTTGCTATGTGTAACCCAAAACCTCATGTTGTCACACCAATCCCACCAAATCTTCAAAAATGAGGGCCAATTGAGCTGCAGTGGCCCCCTGCCCGCCCCCCCCCCGCAAGGGCACGCACACATTCACCAGCTACTGTTATGGCCCCCCAAGCTTAGCTCCCCTCCCGCCTCGCACCGAGGTCCAGCCACGACTCAACATGGGCTCTGTTTATTATTCTAGAGAAGCAATTTTCAAGGGGCTGAAATACTTGTTAAAATTAAGGTAAAGAATGTAAACCACAGCCAGGCCGGTTCACCTTGTGCTTCAAAGCCCTCTTGTTTCTCCAGGCACCGCCTCCTGCAAGCTTCCTGCAGGTCTCCATCAGCCCCGGCGAAAAGGAAGGCCGGCCGCCCAGTGGACAGGCAGAGCGGGGCCTGGGAGTGCAGCCCGTCTCCGGGCCTGCACAGCTGTCCTGGGGCAGGAGGCACCTGCTGGGCCCGGGCGGAAGACGGCCCGGGAAGGCTGAAGACAACCAGTGCAGGGGACTTGACAAGTGATGAGGGAAGACGGGAGTGTGCAGCGTCCACGGGCGTCTGAGGGGCCCGGCGTGCCCGTGGAGCCGACTGTCTCCCAGTGGGTTGGAGGTACATGCCCCTCCAGGCTGAGTCCTGGCATCGCGGAGCCTGGCTTAGGTGGAAGGGCAAGGGTGGAGGACTTTGACCACGTAAACGCCGAAAGGCAGAGCCCTTCAAGGAGAACCACCCAGGACTGCTTCACAGCATAGATTGCCGCCTCTTGATCCAAAAACCTGCTGCTTCCAAGCGGCTTTTTACTTTCTGCAGACATCTCCCTTAAGAAATGATAACGGGGCAATTTAGGGAGCTTTAGCCTTGAAAGCCCCTCCTGCAGTTGGAGGAGGGCCCTGGAAGGCTGGGGTGTGCGTGGGGCTCCTGCACTGAGATTCTTGAGAAGGTCTCGCCCTCTCAGCGGGTCCAAATCGGTGGTCCAACTTCCTCTGGAGATTAGATCGGCAAATGGGGAGAATGATTAATTAAAATAAAATGGATGAATCTGGGCTTTCTCCAAAGTGGGCTCAGATTCAAGTTCAGGCTACATCTCCGCGGGCTCTTGGCACCAGCACGGCGCCCTCAGCCCACGCCTGTTAGGTGACTCACTGCTTCTGGTGGAGGGGGTTTCAGGACCCAGCTTCCAACCCAGTTCCTCTGCTGTTTGGGAGCTGAGTGATGCTGTGCACGCCCATCTTTAGAACGTCTTCCTGTTCACTGTTCACGACAGGGCGAGGACGCTGCAGACCCGACATGGGGCGGGCACTGTGGCAGTAGGTGAGATGGTCAGAAGTTCAGACGGGGCCCTTGCAGCCAGGCAGGTGGGGACCAAGTCCCCTGCCCATTAACTACGGATGCGCCCTCGGCCGTGTGTTGAACCTCCCTGCGCTTCAGGCCCCCCTCTGTGAAGGTGTGAATGTGAGAGCACCTGTGAGGAACGCAGTCCTTGGGAGCTGCTTCTATTCATGTCTCTGGCATCATCCGTTGACCATGAATTAGGAATAAGATGACACATCCAGAAAGCAACGATTTAGGAATACAAAAGGCACCCTTCTGGCCTTGATCAGTGGCCGGACACATGCTCAGTGAATCAGGGGAGCTATGCTGTAAGCCCTCATCTGAATCTAAAAGCCCAAGAACCAGGAACACCGACGTCCGATAGCAGGAGAGGGTGATGTCCCAGCTCAGCAGAGAGAACAGATTTGCCCTTCCTCCGACCTTCTGTTGTACCCGGACCCTCAATGGATTGGGTGACGCCCACATGTTGGAGAGCCATCTGCTTTCAGAGGTTCACCATCTCAGTGCTCATCTCATGCAGAAACACCCTCCCAGACAGAAAACGTGTTTCTTCAGCTACCCGGGCATCCCTGAGCGCGGTCGAGGGGACACGTGAAATTGACCATCACATCTGCATGGCAACCCACAGCTTCCCCAATGGCCGTGCAGAGCCCCCTACCCTGTGAGGCCTGCGGAGCTTGCGGCCGCTGGGTGTACCATTTCCAGGTGAAGAGCGTTGATTTAGACGTCTGCCGGTTTGGAGCCGTCGCACGTGAGGCTACAGGGGACCCCTCGGCACCTTTCTTTTGGGCGCTGACGTCTGCTATGCCGCGGGAAAGCTGAGTGAGATTCCTGGGGCCCAGCGGGGCGGGTGGGTCGGCTTTGAGCTGTGCAGCCAGCCAGGGCCCTGGCGTGAGTCTAGGACAGACGAGAGACCCGGCTAACGCATTCCTCCTTTGGAACGCAGAGTCCATCACAGGAGAGCCCGACTCCGGGTTTAGCAAACGGAGGGTAATTAGGACAGTGGGTGGTCCTATCGTCATCAGGCAAATAGATCTGAGGAAGCACTCCCCCCACAGAGGACAGCCTGCATTTATTCAGCTGCCGGGTGAGCTCAGCACCCTGAACGCCTATCCCTCCTGACAGCTGCGGGAAGCTTGGGGAAGCGGCATCCCCGGATCCACGTGGGGCCCTGGGAATGCCACAGGGAGCAGCAGCGGCCACCACTCAGCACTGGGGAGAGGAAGTCTGCGCTTTACTTCTTGAGGGAGACAGTGGAAACGGTTCCCAGAAGGCAGAGTCTCTCCAGGGACGCTTTAATAGCCGGAGTGGGCGTGGATTCACTCCGTGACATGGGCGTCAGGAGAATTCTATTTATTTATCTGATTTTTCTCAATCAGACAAATCCAATTGCAACTGTCCCTTCCCTCTCCCCCTACCACGTGTTGCGGTTTGTGAGAAATTTAACCTGTGTCATTTTGCCTTTTTCGAGGCGGGTAGGTAGCAGGGAAAAGTCAACTCCCTATAGACAGTTACCTGTCTTAGGTGGTCTTAAGCAATTCAGAATAGTTGAGGGAGGGGCCTGGTGTGATCTCCACCATGGCTACTTGGAGCCCAAGCGCAGCAGCCCACGTGGCTGGTCTAGTGCAGGGCAGACAACTCCACCATAGTCTAAACAAGCGTAGGCCAGGAGCTGGTGGAGGTGCAGGCGGAGGTGAGGAGAGCCTGCGGCGGGCAGCTACCCCTCTGAGCACTTTGCAGATGCCCTGCCTGAGTCACCAGGGAAACGAGCACAGGGGCAGGTCTGGGACTCTAAGCAGGCCGTTGTAACCACTGCGCTGGAGGGATGCCGGGAGTAATCTAGAGTTGCCAGATTCAGCAGATAAAAATGCAGGATGCCCAGTTAAATGGTAATTTCAGATAAACAACTGTGTGAGTTTCCTAGGGTTGCCATAACAAATGATCACAAACTGGGGGGCTTAAAGCAATAGAAATGTATTCCCTCGCTGTCTGGAGGCCAGAAGTCTGAAATCAAGGTGTGGGCAAAGCTGTGCTCCCTCTGGAGGCCCTGAGGGAGGGAGGGACCTTCCCGGTCTCTTCAGGCTTCTGGTGGCTGCTGGAATCCTGGGGGCTCCTTGGCTTGTGGAAGCGTCACTTCAATCCCTGCCTGTGTCTTCATGTGGCCTTCCCTTGGTGTGTCTCCGTGTCTTTACATATTGTTCTTATAAGGGCAGCAGACATTGGATTTAGGGCCACCCTCATCCAGTGTGACCTCATCGTAACTAATTATATCCGTAAAGACCCTATTTCCAACTTGACACGTTCTGATACACCGGGTGGACGTGAATTTTTGGGGGGACACTTATTCAACCCATGACAAGAATGAAAATAGTTTTTTAGTAGCATGGGACATATTTTATACTAAAATTATTCATTTTTTTCTGACATTCAAATATTTCAAAAGACATATTTATACTAAAAATTATTAATTTTTACCTGACATTCAAATATTGCATGGGACATTATTATATTAAAAATTATTCATATTTCATCTGGCCACCCAACTCCTGAGACCCATGGCATCTGTGTCCTGTCCCATCTGAAGTGCATTCCCGGGAGAGAGCACAGCCCTTCCCACCCTGAGGCAGTGTCAACACTCCCTGGGCCCTGGTCCCACCCTGCAGGTATAGGAGAGCTCAGACTTTGGAAACTGAGTAATGGTCTCCCCTTCCTGGATGGGGGTGGGGAAAGGAAGTGCTTCACTGAGGTTGCAAAGTAGAAACAAAAAAGGTCAATGTTACCTCTTTTCTCTCTGTCCCTTAGGGCAAGAGCTGAGCCTCTCAACTGTGAGGAGTGGTGGCCTGAAGCTCCGCACAATCGGGGCGTGCAGATAAAATGCAGGGGAAGAGTGAGAACCGGGGCTGCCTAGCAAAGTTTGTTAAGCACGGGGTGGGGGGCGGGGGGCAGTGAGGGGACACAAACATCTCAGCCGTGAGCGTGGTGCATTCACGCCATCTGGGCAGCCCCACACCAGGCTGTGTGAGCGGCCGCCTGCAGCCGCGGGGTGCAGTCAGTGCGCCCAGCCCTGGGCACCGTCTCCTATTCTCACGACCACCAGTAGTTCCCTGAGTGTCCCTGTTTGCACCCGGGGGGGCTCTGGGGGGTCAGGCAGTCAGTGACAGAGGGAGTGGGATTTGAACCCCCTCCCCTGTGCCTGACTCCGACTCACACACACTCGCCAGCCCAGGCACCAAGCTTGTCCCCCACGTGGTCACACATGCGTTTATCCACTGCACAGGTGGTTAGTGTGTTTTACCAAGTGCTTGGGGCCCCTCAAGGCTCGGGGGCCCTGCAGGAGGCTTCTGGAGCTTCCGCTGGGTGTGCAGGGGGTGATGACTGCATGATGGAGAATGAAGAGGGTGCAGGTAAAAGGGTAACGAGCACGTGTGAGTGTGTTCGTCTGTGTGTGCATGAGCGTGTGCGTGCGAGAAGGCCTCTATGGGTGAGTGTAGGAGTGTGTGCATATGTGCGGGTGAGTTTCTTTTTTTTTGGTGGTTTCCTCTTTATTAATGTGTCTCCTACCTTCCCCCCACACTTGCAGTCCCTTCCATCTACCCCCCCCCCCACAAGAAGGCAGTGAAAAGAAGGGATTGTTGGAGTTCTGAGCCCCTTGGGCAGTTAGAAAGGGAACAGAAACCAAAACACTCAGTGGATGTGACAGGGACTGACAATCGAGAAATCTAAAGCAGAGCGTGAAAGGTGGAGGAGAAAGAGGGAAGGAGTGCTTGCACACGCGTGCACACGTGTATGTGGTGGTGTGCACCTGCGAGTGTAAATGTGCGGGCATGTGATTGTGTGTGTGTGTGTGTGCGCTATATCAAATGCAGTGGTCAGAGAAGCTCCCTCTGAAGAGATAATGCTCTGGAAGACACCATGTGAAAGAAGTGAGGGAGAGAGTCCTGATGATTGAGGGGAAGAGTGCAAGGTGGTGGCAGCAGCAAGTGCAAAGGTCCTGGGACAGGATTGGGGCTGGTGTGTGGAGGCTCAGAACAGAGCCCGTGTGGCCAGGACTGAGTTTACATCTCACAGCTTCAGCCTTTTTGACACTGGCTCTGTCACCCTGTCAGAAGTCCTCAGGGAGGCATGGCATGGCCAGGGAGCCAAACTGTCCATACTGACTGGCGAATCCTGCATTTCTGACTCAGCAGATGAGAGGAATGTCAGTCTATAGAGCAGAGATTCGGTAGAAAACCCCAGAGACATCCACTATACTACCTAGGGATTTACCCACCTATTATTAGAGGCTCTAATAATATAGGCTCTTTGTATGGGCAAAAGAATACACATATTATCCAGAAACCTAAAATGTAATGGCATATTTCTATAATGAAAAAAAAACTTCCCCAAACCTGTGAGATGTTTTCTACCACAGCCTTCACTGACGTTAAACCTTCAACATCTGATAGAACAAGACTTCGGTCACATCCAGCTCGACGGGATCAGCCCCAGGGAAGACTTGCGTAGAGAGGATCTCTGGTTATGGACACAGAATAAAAAATGAACAGTGATGAGGGTGGGGAATGGGGAGGTGGGCAGTGAAAGCTGCAAGCTCAGATATAGGTGGCATTTTGGAATGAAATATTGATTCCTCAATATACAAATTACATATCTGTATGTAAGTCACATCATTATGCTTAAAATCATTATCACCTTCAACCTACATAGTGGATATGTCAATTATATCTCAATAAAGATTGTACCTCAAGAAAAAAATACACAGAGATACACAGAGTCTTTCAGAATCCAAGTTTAAAAAGCTGAGCAGTATGTGGTGAATCCTTTGAACCCGGGCACTGGAATCGGACAAACCAGGAGTGGAAACTCAGCTCTGGCCACGTGGCCTTGGAAGTCGCTTGAGCTGAAAAACGGGGAAACCAGGATTTCACAGTTCCCAGTGTTGCTTCAAGATAGCAGGGAACAGAGTAGCCTTGGATGACAAATGAGACAGAGGAAAGTCTTGAGATGATTACAGTGAATGGAAAGGAAACAGACAAAGAGAGGAGGTCCCCACAAGCAGAGAGAAGAGGGTGGACCCTGAGGGCAGACAAAGACAAGCCCATATTTGGAGACAGCACCAAACGTGACCTGTTTAGAGACAGGTGGGAACATTCCCCTTAACAAGGAATTAGAAGTGCTGGTGGAAGGGACTCCACACCTCCACATTTCATGGCAGGAGATGATGGAGCAGTTTCCCCAAAGTTCTGAGCAAAAGAAAACAGGATGAAGAATATGAAGCCCAGGTACATTGTCTTTCAAGTATGAAGACAACAAATCAGTATTTTTGAGAACAAAACAAGAAAACACTGAATGCTACACTCATTCATCCCATCAGGGCACTGGAGAGTTCCTCGATGACGTGGAGCTGAACGAGAGACTTACGAAGAATCCCAAAAGAAGACACTGTGGGGAAGTGATGGGTGATACCATGAAATCCACAGAGATTGGGATTCTGCACACTCGGGGCGATTGTTGTTACAGAATAGAATTTACCCTAAACAGTATAAACCCTAAATATGGAACTTTACACCTGGGGGGATTAGTATTCAGAACACAGTTTATATCGTATGGGTCCCGTCAAAGGACACGTGATACAGGCGGTTAGTGGGGCCGCGTGGAAGCTGGAGCCTGGGGGGAGTCGAACAGCGTTGCCTTAAGGGCACAGCCTTTGGGTCACCCCTCCCCACAGTTTTGGCATCCACTTTTCTTAGCTTTGGAGTGATTTTTAGGAATCACCATCTTTTTTTTTTTTTTTTTTTAACATCTTTACTGGAGTATAATTGCTTTACAATGGTGTGTTAGTTGCTGCTGTATAACAAAGTGAACCAGCTATACATATACATATATCCCCATATCCCCTCCCTCTTGTGTCTCCCTCCCTCCCACCCTCCCTATCCCACCCCTCTAGGCGGTCACAAAGCACTGAGGTGATCTCCCTGTGCTGTGCGGCTGCTTCCCACTAGCTATCTGTTTTACATTTGGTAGTGTATATATAAGTCCATGCCACTCTCTCACTTCGTCCCGGCTTACCCTTCCTCCTCCCCGTGTCACCATCTTTTGTGGTAAAGAATTATTTTGGCAATTCCCTTGGTGTTACTTTACATTTTTTCAATTACATTCAAGTAAAAGAAATACATTTTCATTTTTAAATAGTGTGGATAGTGTTACTCACGTGTATTAACTTCCTCTCTTCAGCTTTCTATCGATATTTGTGTATGTATGTAGGAGGACATTCAAAAAGACAGCCACATTAATATTAATCCCATTTTGGAGGAGTTAATACATTTTGGGCGGTTGGTTGCTTTCTTAGGAATTTCTGCTTAAATTTTTTTAAAAAGCAAGCATGAATGATATTTATAAGAAGCAATTACACCAATACTTAAAAATACACCACTATATGCCTTTCTTGGAGAAAAAGAAAACCACAATGGAATATATCAGTATATTGTACCTCTCTGAAAGATAAATCTAAGTTATTTAATTGTGGGAAATAAACCTATAAGCAGGCAAAAAACACTGAATCACTAAACGGAATTCCATTTAAATAAAAGGGTATCTGGCCTAACTCTGAGATGCAGATGTCAAATGCTTCCTTTTTTTTTTTACTTTATAATTTATTCATGTATTCAACAAAGTGCCGAGTGCCTACCATGTGCTGGGCTTGTCTCTTTTATTTGATGACAGTCCCCTAGGCTCCTACGGACGAACGACAAGATTACATTTAGACGAAATAAAAGTGAGATCCCAAATCATCAGAGGGTCACTGAGTCACTGTATACCAAAAGGCAGCTTTGAGAAAGCATCCTCTTGGGAAGGAGCCATGACCGTAATGGCTGTAAGTGTTCATGCCCCCAAGATCGCACCTCACTCTTCTTCTAAGATGCAAAATCTCTCAAAAATGTTTCCGGAAGAGGAGCCAGAAGCACAATGGTAAGAGAGTCTGCCAGCTTTTAGAAGGTCAGGTGACGCAGAAGTGCTGTTGGTTTGACTTACTGAATACACAACGAAAGGTGTATTGAAAAGGGAAACCCCAGGCTGGTGTCAGGCCAGACACGACCTCTTCCCCTCCCTCTCGGGGACTAGACCTTCGTTGTGACCTTGGCCTCCTGGGGAGACTAATTGCAGCTCAGTCCCCTCTTGCAGGGACCCTGCAGCCCCACTCCCAGCCCCCTGCTGCCCAGCCTGTTGCCCGGTCTAGGGCTGCCTTCCACTGGGTGGTCCCTCCAGCACTGCAATGGCCCTCACGGTCTGTGGGCCCCAAGCCAGGCCCAGCAGCGCCCCCACTGTCATCATCCCGCTGGATGCTGCGTTAGAGCCTCCCAGGCCACTTCCTGCCGAGATGCCGGGAGGGAGCTGCACTCTAAGCTCTGGACTGTCCAGCCTGTAAGGGGCTGGAGCCCAGTCAACCAGCCTTGATCCAGAAGCCTGGGAACTCAAGCCTTGAGCATCTTAGGGAAAAAACAAGAAAGACTTTCCTCATTCTGCTGTCTTCCGAACACCACTCTGGATTCTGGCTCCAGCCCCTCTGAGATTGTAAACATCTGGGGGGTGACAGACAGCCTGACCCTGTGACTCCGCCGCAGGCCCCCTGTGGATACGCAGATGACGGGTGGAGAGCGGTCAGCCGTCCCAGCCCGATAAGGGTCCCTAAAAACCCCAAATCAATGGGCAGATTTAGCCTTCTCAAACCACGCCACATACCAGCATCTGTGACATATGGTACAAATAAAATGGGCTTAGTCTTACATCGGGAAGGAGGTCATTAGAGGCAGCTGAAACTGGGAAACCTCACGGCAAAGACAGAAAAGGCCAGGCTTGGAGACGACACGGCTGCACGTCCAGCTGCACACGCTCCGTGGGTCAACGCTGGCTTTGCGTCCAGCCTTGGAAGACTCTGCTCCTTCACTGGAGGCTAAATTTGTCCCCGAGCACCCACTGCCCTGTGGAAAACCTGGGCTAAGACTTCAAATATGACCTAAGTCTTGGTCAAAACACAGGCAGGCATTCATGTGAGTAACAGACGTGTCACTGTGTGCCTGCCACACACGGTGCCCATGGAGGGGAGGAGACCAGAGCTTCTCCTCTGTTTCAGGACCTGCTTTGGGTCCAGCTTCCCAGGACAGGCCTCCGAGGGTCTGTCCTCCTCTTCTCTCTACTCCCAGCGCCCCGAGTCTGCACTTCCTGTGCTTCAGAGCCGGAGGCCACTCCTCAATTCCATAAGCTCGGGTCTAAATGCACCAAAGAGGAGGGTCCTCCCCCAGATGAGTGCCTCCTTGATAAATGGATGGAAAGGGCCCCAAATCTCCCACCTGAAAAGGGCCAGGATGTAAGGAGGCCGCAGAACACGAGCAGTGATGCGGCCATGGGGACGGGGACCTGGCCGCCGTTTTCAGTACATGCTTTTACTTTGATTCATTTCCCCCTTTCTCTGTCCAGGCTGAAGGGTCACTAACAGCTCCGGGTCCAGAATATGCTCTGGGACAGTCGTCCCCTACCTTTTGCCCTCACAAACTATGACATCCAGCCCCCCACCCCACCCCCACTGCCAGGCCTGCGAAAGCCCACTGAGCCACCTTTGTTTTGTTTGTGTTGATCTGTTTAATTGCACGATTGCTTTTGAGGCTTACTTAAGGAGTGGTTTAATTTGTTTCTTCCTGGTCTCCTGGCCCCGCCCCAGATGTCAGGTCCTAGAGACAAGGGACCTGAGCTGTCATTTGCACGGAAGTGTCTTGGCGCCTGGAATCTAGTGAGCGGCGGCTGACCAGAGGAGGGGGTTGCCCACGAGATTGTGGGGTGCAGCCACGGCGAGCGCTCGGGCTTTAACTTTGACTGTGGCTTTTACCAATGAAACATTCCCTCCCTCTGCATTTTGTCCTAAGAGAAGCAGTAGCGAGCGGTGAAGACCTCGTTGTTTCCATCACCGTGGAAGCTGGCATCTCATCTGGAAGGCACCAGCCCTGTCAGGCAGGCCCGGCCTATCCAGCCCCCAGATGGGTGTCAGCCTGCTGGGACCATCCCAGCTGGCTGACATTACGGCGGTTACTGTAATAAAGACCAGGGTTAGCTGACAAACTTGGTATTTTCTTATACGGCTGCTGTGAATTTTACAAAGTGTGAGGCAAGCCTCAGGTCGGCAGCGCTGCAGCAAAACAAAAACACACAACAGAAAAAAAACCCCACACTGCTGAGGTCAGCTGTTGAGGTCCTCCTCGTGTACAGCTGTTTGAAAAATACAACACGACACAACACAACACAACACAATACAATACAAGCAGCTGTGCGGTGGGGAGAAGTTAGGTCAAATCCAGGACTGAAAGAAATCTGTTTGGAGCTGCCATTGGGGGTGCAGGGCTGCCCCGTGGAACTGCTGCAGGGATTTAAAGAGGCAGAAGTTCATTTCCTGCGATTTAAGGAACTTTGCTGACGCCTGTGCTGGCGCGGGGTTCGAAGGACTGGGAATGGATCCGGCCGCCCAG